GATGGCTACTATAGTTAACATCTAGTCCTGTACAATCCTAACGGGGACTCTAAATCAGAGTTACGATGGCTACTATAGTTAACATCTAGTCCTGTACTATCCTAACGGGGACTCTAAATCAGAGTTACGATGGCTACTATAGTTAACATCTAGTCCTGTACAATCCTAACGGGGACTCTAAATCAGAGTTACGATGGCTACTATAGTTAACATCTAGTCCTGTCTTATCCTAACGGGGACTCTAAATCAGAGTTACGATGGCTACTATAGTTAACATCTAGTCCTGTCTTATCCTAGAGTTACGATGGGTTAACATCTAGTCCTGTAAATCCTAACAGAGTTACGATGGCTACTATAGTTAACATCTAGTCCTGTCTTATCCTAACGGGGACTCTAAATCAGAGTTACGATGGCTACTATAGTTAACATCTAGTCCTGTCTTATCCTAACGGGGACTCTAAATCAGAGTTACGATGGCTACTATAGTTAACATCTAGTCCTGTCTTATCCTAACGGGGACTCTAAATCAGAGTTACGATGGCTACTATAGTTAACATCTAGTCCTGTCTTATCCTAACGGGGACTCTAAATCAGAGTTACGATGGCTAATATTGTTAACATCTAGTCCTGTACTAACGGGGACTCTAAATCAGAGTTACGATGGCTAGATATATCTAAAACCGTCTCCAGTCCTGTATTTTCCTAACGGGGACTCTAAATTACGATGGCTAATATAGTTAAAACCTTCTCTATCCCTGTACTATCCAAACGGGGAATCTAAATCAGAGTTACGATGGCTAATATAGTTAAAACCTTCTCTATCCCTGTACTATCCAAACGGGGAATCTAAATCAGAGTTACGATGGCTAATATAGTTAAAACCTTCTCTATCCCTGTACTATCCAAACGGGGAATCTAAATCAGAGTTACGATGGCTAATATAGTTAAAACCTTCTCTATCCCTGTACTATCCAAACGGGGAATCTAAATCAGAGTTACGATGGCTAATATAGTTAAAACCTTCTCTATCCCTGTACTATCCAAACGGGGAATCTAAATCAGAGTTACGATGGCTAATATAGTTAAAACCTTCTCTATCCCTGTACTATCCAAACGGGGACTCTAAATCAGAGTTACGATGGCTAGATATATCTAAAACCGTCTCCAGTCCTGTATTTTCCTAACGGGGCTCTAAATCAGAGATACGATGGCTAATATAGTTAACATCTAGTCCTGTACTATCCTATTGGGACTCTAAATCAGAGTTACGATGGCTAATATAGTTAAAACCTTCTCTAGCCCCGTACTATCCAAACGGGGAATCTAAATCAGAGTTACGATGGCTAGATATAAAAAGACATGTGAGAGGAATCTTCAACAAGATTTTCAAAGTTATTGTGGTAGATAAAACTCAATGATGACGCTTCATTGCAGTGCCTCTGTACTTCTGTAGATAAATGATTCTAGTATAATGAAATAATGACGGAAGCCACGTAAAAAGTACAAATTTGAACAGTTTTATTTACAAGTTCATCCTATAACAAACTATTCAGTAGTGTCAATCACTACACTGTAAATGTCACTGCTTGCGTAACCATAACCAAAAGCCATATAGACGGAGAAAAAATCTGTCAGAAAGCATTCTCGCTGCTGATAAACACCTTGTAGTGACAGATATAATTAAATTATTGTGCAAAACAATACATAACAAAATATAAAAACATAAACCAGTTAGATAATTGTAATAGTCAATAGACTCTCTAGACAAATCACGTGATAGCATTTATACTTACTATGATTTACATCGTTTTGACGACGAACATATCGTAGTAAAGTACTTGTCTCTACATTGCATACTTTTCTCTGGGTTCATTCTACAAGGTCTTATATCAATATTTGGTAACTCAAGTGACACCGAATCTAGACACACGTTTACTTCAAAATAAATAAATAAATAAAATTCACTGCCAATGTTACTGGTGTTATTCAATACCAACAACTGTAAAAGATTGCTGACCTGATTGGCAGGCTTTTTATAGTCCTAAAATATAGATAGAAACGCATCCTGGCCATATTGGATCTGTTGTTTGTTGCTAACGTAGACAACAAGGGATATTACTCTTTAAACAAGGAATTTTTAATCGAGTTAGTTTTTACTTTAATTCATTATTGATGTTTAACTCACAATGCCAGCGTAAATTTAAAAAGAAAACAACATTTTCTGTTTTGGAATAACATGAAATGAGAAACTGCTCTCAGCAACATGATTCCAACATGATGTCCTCTCCCCTTGTTTAATTCCTTCCGAAGTCTGTAACATACAGATCTCTGTTAACAGCGTTACAACGTCTGGTACAGCTACTGGGGGGTTCGGCACCATTAAACACGACAGTGAGTTATATGAAAGGCTAATACCGATCACCCGATACTCCATCATAGCGAGCCGTGCTCACCCGGGGTGTTAAACGCGAGTTAATGGGCGGAAATATGTCAAATATGTCGCCCCTCAAGTCAGCTTACGCTTGTAACTACCGCCAATAGAGATATAATGGCGTGTTTTATCGAGCGGTATCCATGCTTCTAACGGTGTGGCTTCCTTACCCTAGATTTATGTCGCGAAGTTGTAACATATTAACGGTAAAAGTACAATATCTAATGGTGCCATTGGAATCACAGACAATACCCGTTCAACTGAACATGTATATAAATGATTGATGAGCAGAACGATTTGTCAGCCTTTGATCTTCTGATTGTCATCGATAGGGAGAATTACGTACTGATTCTGTTTATTTCTAACCGACATTTAATTATATATATGTATCTTATGTTTATAGTACGTTATAATTACATAATGCTCGTGGATTATTTATAACTATTATATATATATATATATATAATGTAATACTTAATTATAGAGTGTTATATTACTTATGTAGTGTGTATACTACTTTGTAAGTATATCATGTTTGTACTACTTTGTAAGTATATCATGTTTGTAGTACTTTGTAAGTATATCATGTTTGTAGTACTTTGTAAGTATATCATGTTTGTACTACTTTGTAAGTATATCATGTTTGTAGTACTTTGTAAGTATATCATGTTTGTAGTACTTTGTAAGTATATCATGTTTGTAGAACTTTGTAAGTATATCATGTTTGTAGTACTTTGTAAGTATACCATGTTTGTACTACTTTGTAAGTATATCATGTTTGTACTATCATGTTTGTAGTACTTTGTAAGTATATCATGTTTGTAGTACTTTGTAAGTATATCATGTTTGTAGTACTTTGTAAGTATATCATGTTTGTACTACTTTGTAAGTATATCATGTTTGTACTACTTTGTAAGTATATCATGTGTGTAGTACTTTGTAAGTATATCATGTTTGTACTACTTTGTAAGTATATCATGTTTGTACTACTTTGTAAGTATATCATGTTTGTACTACTTTGTAAGTATATCATGTTTGTAGTACTTTGTAAGTATACCATGTTTGTACTACTTTGTAAGTATATCATGTTTGTACTACTTTGTAAGTATATCATGTTTGTAGTACTTTGTAAGTATATCATGTTTGTAGTACTTTGTAAGTATATCATATTTGTACTACTTTGTAAGTATATCATGTTTGTAGTACTTTGTAAGTATATCATGTTTGTAGTACTTTGTAAGTATATCATGTTTGTAGTACTTTGTAAGTATATCATGTTTGTAGAACTTTGTAAGTATATCATGTTTGTACTACTTTGTAAGTATATCATGTTTGTACTACTTTGTAAGTATATCATGTTTGTACTACTTTGTAAGTATATCATGTTTGTAGTACTTTGTAAGTATATCATGTTTGTAGTACTTTGTAAGTATATCATATTTGTACTGCTTTGTAAGTATATCATGTTTGTAGTACTTTGTAAGTATATCATGTTTGTAGTACTCTGTAAGTATATCATGTTTGTAGTACTTTGTAAGTATATCATGTTTGTACTACTTTGTAAGTATATCATGTTTGTACTACTTTGTAAGTATATCATGTTTGTAGTACTTTGTAAGTATATCATGTTTGTACTACTTTGTAAGTATATCATGTTTGTAGTACTTTGTAAGTATATCATGTTTGTACTACTTTGTAAGTATATCATGTTTGTAGTACTTTGTAAGTATATCATGTTTGTAGTACTTTGTAACTTTGTAAGTATATCATGTTTGTAGTATTTTGTAAGTATATCATGTTTGTAGTACTTTGTAAGTATATCATGTTTGTACTACTTTGTAAGTATATCATGTTTGTACTACTTTGTAAGTATATCATGTTTGTACTACTTTGTAAGTATATCATGTTTGTACTACTTTGTAAGTATATCATGTTTGTAGTACTTTGTAAGTATATCATTGTAAGTATATCATGTTTGTAGTACTTTGTAAGTATATCATGTTTGTAGTACTTTGTAAGTATATCATGTTTGTACTACTTTGTAAGTATATCATGTTTGTACTACTTTGTAAGTATATCATGTTTGTAGTGCTTTGTAAGTATATCATGTTTGTAGTACTTTGTAAGTATATCATGTTTGTAGTACTTTGTAAGTATATCATGTTTGTAGTACTTTGTAAGCATATCATGTTTGTAGTACTTTGTAAGTATATCATGTTTGTAGTACTTTGTAAGTATATCATGTTTGTAGTACTTTGTAAGTATACCATGTTTGTACTACTTTGTAAGTATATCATGTTTGTAGTACTTTGTAAGTATACCATGTTTGTAGTACTTTGTAAGTATATCATGTTTGTAGTACTTTGTAAGTATATCATGTTTGTAATAATTGAATTTCAGAATAACGTTAATGTAAAGATTTCAATACAATAGGAATCGGACAACAGACAACGTTTAGTTTAAATAAATAATCATTATGTTGACATGTTGGTATTTCATTGGGTTTTTTTCATGCGAATGCTAATTTGGCTACTACAATGTCAGTCCGCGGTTTAAATTTGATCTGGAGATGACGGAATGTTGTCCATACATTCATCATTCCGCACTTATCCTTGTCAGGTAGTTGACGAACAATACAATACACAATATTGATACAGAAAGTGATTCTCTAATAAAAGTGACAAATCTCCATTATAGATCATGTAGAAAGGTTTAGACAAAGATGACACTGGATGAAGAGCAATCCATAATATGACGAACACAAATCACGATAGATTTTCTATCCGACATTTCTAAATTCTTTTGTCATAAGTAAATCATAAAATAAGACTAAATCATTATTGTTGTACAGACCAAGATGTTTCACAAACAACTGCCATGAAAATAGGATGTATTAAAGTTTATCCCGATTACAAAATTATTTCCAACTTATTTCATCGATTCATTTTTCTAGAGTTATGTTTTAAACTGTCAGCGGTTTGAAAACTACTTCCGACTTCACGTGAGATTTGTATCCGTCAGTTATACCTCTTGGTCCTCTGTCTGTTTAGTAGGAATATAATACTTTCAATACATTATTACATATACCATTTTTGTGTAATTATATTGAAATGTATGTGTAAATATATATTTAGTTTAGGCTATTGTGCCATGCATTGTGAAAAGCTTTGCTAATATCAGAATTGAAATTAATTTATTATTCATATAATTACATAATGATGAAACAGGAGCTGATGATGACGACAAAGGAGTAGCGGATGATGACAGATGAGAAGATGATGACGACAGAGGAGAAGAGGATGACGACAAAGGAGTAGATTTTGATGACGACAGAAGAATAGGTGATGACGACAGAGGAGCTGATGATGACGACAGAGGAGCTGATGATGACGATAGAGGAATAGGTGATGACGACAGAGGAATAGGTGATGACGACAGAGGAGTAGAGGATGACGACAGAGGAGCTGATGATGACGACAGAGGAATAGGTGATGACGACAGAGGAGCTGATGTTGACGACAAAGAAACCTGATGACGACAGAGGAGCTAATGATGACGACAGTGGAGCTGATGATGATAACAGAGGAATAAGTGATGACGACAGAGGAGCTGATGTTGACGACAGAGGAGTAGAGGATGACGATAGAGGAGCTGAAGTTGACGACAGAGAAGAAGAGGATGACGACAGAGGAGCTGATGTTGACGACAAAGGAGTAGCGGATGACGACAGATGAGAAGATAATGACGACACAGGAGAAGATGATGACGACAGAGGAGCTGATGATGACGACAGTGGAGTAGAGGATGACGACAGAGGAGCTGAAGTTGACGACAGAGAAGAAGAGGATGACGACAGAGGAGCTGATGTTGACGACAAAGGAGTAGCGGATGACGACAGAGGAGCCGATGATGACGGCAGTGGAGCTGACGATGACGGAAGAGGAGTAAAAAATGACGATAGAGGAGCTGATGATGACGACAGAGGAACAGGTGATGACGACAGAGGAGCTGATGTTGACGACAGAGGAGTAGAGGATGACGATAGAGGAGCTGATGCTGACGACAGAGGAGTAGAAGATGACGATAGAAGAGCTGATGATGACAACAGAGGCTGATTATTATGACAGAGGAGTAGATGACGACAGAGGAGTAGATGACGACAGAGGAGTAGATGACGACAGAGGAGTAGATGACGACAGAGGAGCTGATGCTGACGACAGAGGAGTAGATGACGACAGAGGAGTAGATGACGACAATTGAGTAAGTGATTACGACAGAGACAGGGGTGTAGGAAATCACGATAAATGTAGATGGTGACTACGGAGGAGAAGGCGATGGCAAGATAATATTATAACAACAAAGCCTATCGTATGACATAAACCTATTAAATAATAATAATATTAAACCTGGTTTTCGCGGGGATGACAATTTCACTATTTCGCGGTACATTAACGTGACCGTGAAAATCTTATCTGTGAAATAATAAGACAAGTGTGTAATAGATGTCAAAATCGCGAATCATTGATTCGTTAGAATATAAGTCGGATGTATTGGAAGAAAGTCATGCAGATTTTGACCCGTAAAATAGACCAGAAATGCGGTACTTGATTTGTAGCCATGATAGATTTAATTTTCATTTCTTTTAATATGATAAAGATAAAATCGTTTTTATGTTGTATTCAGTGTTAATTTTTTTGTTTGTGTGTATCAAAGTCAAATTGACCTGAATCATTCATCATGGAACGCTTCCCTCAACACAGGTATGAAGAGTCGACAGATTAAGATTCGGAATAGTTCACGCTCCATCGCGTATACCAGGTGTTTGATAGCAAGCTTCGCCGTACCATGGTGGTCCACACCGTCCAATGCTTACCGAAGCGTCTTTCACATTCACGAAAAAACTAGAGACTTCTTTTTCTGTATCTGTACGAAACAAGTCCACTGAAGAAGGAAAACGTGATAATTTCGAGATAAAAGGTTCACATTTTGAACACTGAATTAGAGGCCAGGAAGCGACTACTAGACCGTGACTAACCATCGGTCAGGGTAACAGCCGAGATCCTATTATAACGGCCTACGGCTGTGTAGATACCACACAGCGGTCAGAAACGTCATCTGGACGGACACACGTTAGACGGCATCCAGGAAGCTATCAAGGGATTACCATCTCACCGCTTGTCATTTTAATGTTTTTTTTATACACAATAATCTAGAGAGCACGTAAATGATCCCTCCAAATGTGACACACAAGATATTGGTCGATAGCTGTTATATTATTGTAGATATGTAATGTGTACATTATCAAAGCAACTCGTTCGTATCTGGCTACATGTTTATAGATATAACGGACCTTTTTATAGATGCATTGTACCTACTGATAGATACCATGTAGTATTACTGGAAACATTGTACCTGTTTATACACAATGTACCTGTTGATACAATGTATCTGTTTATATAGATATAATGTATCTGTTTATATAGATACAATATACCTGTTTATATAGATACAATATACATATTTATACAGATACAATATACCTGTTTATATAGATACAATATACATATTTATATAGATACAATATACCTGTTTATATAGATACAATATACCTGTTTATATAGATACAATATACCTATTTTATAGATACAATATATCTGTTTATATAGATACAATATACCTGTTTATATAGGTACAATGTACCTATTTATATAGATACAAAATACCTGTTTATATAGATACAATATACCTGTTTATATAGATACAATATACCTGTTTATATAGATACCATGTATCTGTTTATATAGATACAATATACCTGTTTATATAGGTACAATGTACCTATTTATATAGATACAATATACCTGTTTATATAGATACAATATACCTATTTATATAGATACAATATACCTGTTTATATAGATACAATGTATCTGTTTATATAGATACAATGTACCTATTTTTATAGATACAATATATCTGTTTATATAGATACAATATACCTGTTTATATAGGTACACTGTACCTATTTATATAGATACAATATACCTGTTTATATAGATACAATATACCTATTTATATAGATACAATATACCTGTTTATATAGATACAATGTATCTGTTTATATAGATACCATATACCTATTTATATAGACACAATATACCTGTTTATATAGATACAATGTATCTGTTTATATAGATACAATAGTCCTATTTATATAGATACAATATACCTATTTATATAGATACAATATACCTATTTTATAGATACAATATATCTGTTTATATAGATACAATATACCTGTTTATATAGGTACAATGTACCTATTTATATAGATACAATATACCTGTTTATATAGATACAATGTATCTGTTTATATAGATACAATGTTCCTATTTTTATAGATACAATATATCTGTTTATATAGATACAATATACCTGTTTATATAGGTACAATGTACCTATTTATATAGATACAATATACCTGTTTATATAGATACAATATACCTATTTATATAGATACAATATACCTGTTTATATAGATACAATGTATCTGTTTATATAGATACAATGTACCTATTTATATAGATACAATATATCTGTTTATATAGATACAATATACCTGTTTATATAGGTACACTGTACCTATTTATATAGATACAATATACCTGTTTATATAGATACAACATACCTATTTATATAGATACAATATACCTGTTTATATAGATACAATATACCTGTTTATATAGACACAATATACCTGTTTATATAGATACAATATACCTGTTTATATAGATACAATGTATCTGTTTATATAGATACCATATACCTATTTATATAGACACAATATACCTGTTTATATAGATACAATGCATCTGTTTATATAGATACAATATACCTATTTATATAGATACAATATACCTATTTATATAGATACAATATACCTATTTTTATAGATACAATATACCTGTTTATATAGGTACAATATACCTGTTTATATAGATACAATGTATCTGTTTATATAGATACAATGTACCTGTTTATATAGATACAATATACCTGTTTATATAGGTACAATGTACCTATTTATATAGATACAATATACCTGTTTATATAGATACAATATACCTATTTATATAGATACAATATACCTGTTTATATAGATACAATGTATCTGTTTATATAGATACAATGTACCTATTTTTATAGATACAATATATCTGTTTATATAGATACAATATACCTGTTTATATAGGTACACTGTACCTATTTATATAGATACAATATACCTGTTTATATAGATACAATATACCTATTTATATAGATACAATATACCTGTTTATATAGATACAATGTATCTGTTTATATAGATACCATATACCTATTTATATAGACACAATATACCTGTTTATATAGATACAATGTATCTGTTTATATAGATACAATATACCTATTTATATAGATACAATATACCTATTTATATAGATACAATATACCTATTTTTATAGATACAATATACCTGTTTATATAGGTACAATGTACCTATTTATATAGATACAATATACCTGTTTATATAGATACAATGTATCTGTTTATATAGATACAATGTACCTATTTTTATAGATACAATATATCTGTTTATATAGATACAATATACCTGTTTATATAGGTACACTGTACCTATTTATATAGATACAATATACAATATATAGATACAATATACCTATTTATATAGATACAATATACCTGTTTATATAGATACAATGTATCTGTTTATATAGATACCATATACCTATTTATATAGACACAATATACCTGTTTATATAGATACAATGTATCTGTTTATATAGATACAATAGTCCTATTTATATAGATACAATATACCTATTTATATAGATACAATATACCTATTTTATAGATACAATATATCTGTTTATATAGATACAATATACCTGTTTATATAGGTACAATGTACCTATTTATATAGATACAATATACCTGTTTATATAGATACAATGTATCTGTTTATATAGATACAATGTTCCTATTTTTATAGATACAATATATCTGTTTATATAGATACAATATACCTGTTTATATAGGTACAATGTACCTATTTATATAGATACAATATACCTGTTTATATAGATACAATATACCTATTTATATAGATACAATATACCTGTTTATATAGATACAATGTATCTGTTTATATAGATACAATGTACCTATTTATATAGATACAATATATCTGTTTATATAGATACAATATACCTGTTTATATAGGTACACTGTACCTATTTATATAGATACAATATACCTGTTTATATAGATACAATATACCTATTTATATAGATACAATATACCTGTTTATATAGATACAATATACCTGTTTATATAGACACAATATACCTGTTTATATAGATACAATATACCTGTTTATATAGATACAATGTATCTGTTTATATAGATACCATATACCTATTTATATAGACACAATATACCTGTTTATATAGATACAATGCATCTGTTTATATAGATACAATATACCTATTTATATAGATACAATATACCTATTTATATAGATACAATATACCTATTTTTATAGATACAATATACCTGTTTATATAGGTACAATATACCTGTTTATATAGATACAATGTATCTGTTTATATAGATACAATGTACCTGTTTATATAGATACAATATACCTGTTTATATAGGTACAATGTACCTATTTATATAGATACAATATACCTGTTTATATAGATACAATATACCTATTTATATAGATACAATATACCTGTTTATATAGATACAATGTATCTGTTTATATAGATACAATGTACCTATTTTTATAGATACAATATATCTGTTTATATAGATACAATATACCTGTTTATATAGGTACACTGTACCTATTTATATAGATACAATATACCTGTTTATATAGATACAATATACCTATTTATATAGATACAATATACCTGTTTATATAGATACAATGTATCTGTTTATATAGATACCATATACCTATTTATATAGACACAATATACCTGTTTATATAGATACAATGTATCTGTTTATATAGATACAATATACCTATTTATATAGATAC